TTGAGGGAAAACATATATAGTTTCCGGAGCACAGTTTCCGCAGCACAGTTTCAGAAGCAGGGGTAGTTTCCCAAGCATGGTTTCCGAAGCATAGTTTCCGAAGCATAGTGTCCGAAGCAAGGTTTCCGAAGCAGAATTGTTTGCAATCCCAAAGAATCAAAGTGTACAAATCTTGGTAGGGAAGACTTCAAAAAATACATCATCATGTATATTTTTTGGGTGGTGTACCGGGCGTCAATGGACAAAGGAAGTCTGGCCCAAACCCTCGTGCTTCGCCTTCAGACAGGATGCTTCATGTGGACGTCGCTACGCAGTGAGAACCTGTCGCTTCCGTCGTCCTCCAAAGTAGGGGACTTGAAAAAAATGGTGCAGAAATTCTTCGGACAAAGTTTTGTGAGGCTGGTCACTGCAGAAGGACGTGTGCTGAGTGCAGATGCATCTTTAGATGAGCTTCAGGATGGAGACCAACTCACGTGTCTTGCAATCCAGCCGAAGGTGACAGGAACAGAAACTGCTTTCGCCATGTGGTGCCCGGGAGGTGACAGAGCACATGGTGCCATCCAACTTATGGTGGTGCCAGCTCCACAATCCAAGATCATTTGGCAAACGTGCAGCACGTGCACACTTCAGACCGTGCGTTTGCTGCAATCCTGTTGGACGGTAGCATTGTCGCCTGGGGTGATCCAGTTTATGGTGGTAACAGCTCTGGGGTTCAGGACCAACTCACGGCTGTGTGCTTCAGAGCGTGCCTTTGCTGCAATCTTGGAGGATGGCTCCGTTGTCACCTGGGGCCAGGCTGATTGGAGGGACTTCGCGGGTGACCGCCTTGTGGCCACGGAACGAGCCTTCGCTGCGGTCCTGTCATATGGGTCAGTTGTTGCGTGGGGGGATCCGGATTATGGCGGTGACAGCTTTGAAGTCCAGGGTCAGCTCAGAGATGTGAAGCAGCTTCAGGCAACAAACTTTGCATTTGCTGCGATTTCCAATGGGTTGGTCGTGACATGGGGCAATCAATGCAAAGGTGGTGACAGTTCCAAAGTACAGGCTCAGCTCCAAAATGTCCAGCAGATTCAAGGCGCAAAAGGCGGAGCTTTTGCTGCAATCCTGGCAGATGAATCAGTCGTGACATGGGGTGATTCATATTGTGGCGGTGACAGCTCCAAAGTCCAACAGCAGCTCAAAGGTGTCCGCCAAGTTCAGGCAACAGCGCTCGCATTCTGCAATCTTGTCTGACGGGTCAGTTGTTACATGGGGCGACCAGGTATTTGGTGGAGACAGTTGCGCAGTCCAGGATCAGCTGATGGATGTGCAGCGGGTGCATGCCACTGACAATGGTGCTTTTGCTGCAATCTTGTCTGATCCCCGAATATGAGCTCGCATCCGGGTCCTGCTCGCCCTCGTCATCGACATGCGGTCGCTTTCCCCAAACGATCTTCGTCTTCGGCTTCAGGGGAACAGCAACACCTCCAGCCATGTGGTGTCCGGGCCAGGTAGCTCCATCAGGCTCATCCTCAAACCATGACTTCCCGAATGGGTTGCCATCCCTACCGAGGATCTCCTCCCTATCGGCAAGAGACCCCGAGTGAGACAACGCCGAAACATGGGAAAGCATGATTTCAGCTGCTGACTGCGCCAACGTGTCAGACATCTGCTCCCTCGTTGGAACCGTCCGCAATTCCGGAGCAATGTGCCCGGCAATCATACTGAAAGGTGCGGTGCCCAGCCTCTTGTCCGACACTGCCTCATTCAGCGCATTGAAGTACTTCTGCAGCTTTTCCAGCATCGCTGTCGCTGCCATCAGCTGAGGATGAAACATTGGCATCCTCCATGCGCGCCCAAGGGCGCTGTCCATGTGCGATGCGATCGTGGTGATCGTCGCCACCAACAGATGCGAAGATGCCACTTCCGGCACCCAGGTCGGGTCACAGCTCCGCAGTGGAACTTGGAAACGTGCAGCAGCTTCAAGCCAACGGCAATGCATTTGTTGCCATCCTGGAAGATGGAGTAGTTGTTGCCTGGGGTCATCCTGAACGTGGTGGTGATAGGTCTGCGGTCCAAGATCAGTTGATCAGTTTATAAATTGCTGCTCCTTCTGATTTTGCTCGATGGTGAAAAAGGCGAGTCCAATCCTGGGGGTACAGTTCCATGCAGTCGAGAAAAACATGGTATGTCATCACAATGGTGGTTTCGATCCAATGCCCAAAACACACTCTGGTAATGGCTCACACGGCCAGCTGGACAATCCCAGCCATGAGTTGATGCTAACTCCCCTGGTTTCTGTTTTACGGGTGCGTGCATGTTTATCAAAATACTGCCATGGCCAGTGCGCTTTTTGGCACAAGTTTTATCTCCGACAACCTTATGTTCCCATCTTCGTCACCCCGCCTTCATCGTCTCTGCGCGGAAAACGTGCTGGGCCAAACGGCTGCGGTTGGGGCTCGGCCGTGGAGGTGGGTCAGGACTTAGGGTTGGGAGGTGCACATTTTTGGCTCGCTCTGCTTACTGCTTTGGTTGTTCGCTTTGCTCGCTCGGGTTGGTGCTGCTGCGCTGCTTGCTTTCTGCCCTGCTGGGCTTCCTTACTTGTTAGAACTGGTCACCTTTTTGGTTCTTGTTGTGCCGTTTGGGCCTGTTTAACCCTTCCCGAAACTCTGTTTCAAACCCCTTCGCAGGTTATCAGCCGTAGGATTCGTCCTCGGTTGGCAGCGCGAACCCCTTGTTAATAGCCCTGCGGCTAACTTTTCAACAGAGTTGCTGTAGGCCTCATGGCGGACACACCTGAAGGCCGACCCACGGCCGTTGAACCATGTTCATATTGTTGCCCATTGGCCCCATTTAAATAGCCACATTCACATACGTATATTATGTAGCATGATCGGCGAGAAAGCAAGGTTTAATACACTGAGTCGGTTTCGTGGTTGACAGTGGCCCACCACTGTGGTGGTGGGTGTAGCCATTTGATCTCGGAATGAGGGTCTTGAAGTGATGTCCCGCAACAACTTGGCGACAGGTGGCTCGGAAGCATAGAGAATTATTCTTTACGACCATGCAGCGACACCGCGATGCAACGGACTTTTGCTTGTGCAGTGGGAAACTACAAAAAGTGACGCTTGCAATTTTCAAGCTGGAGATGCGGAAGTGTCATTCGCGTGTTGTTTTTGCATTTTAAAGTTGCGGTTTCAGCTGGAGGTGTGAGAGTGCGCTTTCCGAACGTTACTCTTGTGCTTCAAAGTTGCGAATTTCGTGCGGCGGAGCCATGGGAATGCACTTCGTGCGCTACTTTTCTACGATTGTGCAGTGGGAGCTGCGGAGCTGCGCTTTGCATTGCTTTTGCACTCAGAAGTTACAAATGTTTAAGCTGGAGTTGCCCCGGACAAAGCGGGAATCGTTCTCGCGACTGCGTGATTGTGAAAGCAGGCGCGCAAACAGCGATTTGGCCAAGTAAGATTATCATGCCGGCGCCGACGATTTCCGCAGAGGGTTCGCCCCGCGCCAGCGGGAGCCCTCATGACTCGTTTCGGTGGCTCAGTCAGCGCAGGCCGTTATTGCAAAGGAGGGTTTGCGTTGACAAGTTATTAGACCCCTTGGTTCCGAGTTTGCGAGAAAGACCCCAAATAGAGCCATCCTCACCTGCGCGCGCTGTAACGCTCAGAGCACACTCCTGCCAAATGCCAAGCATGACCGCTCAAGCGCGGGCGCTCGCTTAAGCGCGCCGGCTCACAGCGCACGTGTGGCAGATGTGCGTGTAGTGTGAGCAGGGGTGCTTTGGCAAGCGCGCTTGCCAATTGGCAGACATGCACACAATGCTGAGCCAGTGCGCTTGAGCGGGCTGCTTCCCAGTTGGCAGGCATGTGAGCGGTCGCCTTTGCGTGGGCGCAAAGGCACGTGTGCAGCGCCGGACAAATGGTGCACACGCGCTCAGCACTTCTCGCGGGCACGCGCAATTGAAATGACAACGGCACGCGCTCAGCCCTGCTCACACGCCTGCGAAATGGTAAGCGCGCACCCAACAGGGACTGCGCAGCACTGTGCGCACGCGCCTGCCGGAAGGTAAGCGAACCTGCTCAAGCGCACCTGTTGCAAAAATGCCTGCCAAAGAAGAAACGCACCTGCCCAAGAGCACCCGAGCAGCACTGCAAACGTGCTTGCCAGATGATGTTAAGCGCATCAGCTCAAGAGCGCCCGCGCGTGTAAAGCGACCGCCCACGTGTGCAAGCGACGAACCAGGTACGTGTACAAGCGACGAACCAAACACGTGTTTAAATGAGACTTGGGTAAGTTGGACGGGAACGCGCCCCTTTAAGTGACTTCCTCGCGGACATGCAGGACGTCGCTGTCCCGAGCCACTCCAGCTGAGGGTTGGAGGGGGGCCGAGGGGGTGGGGATGCTACTCGTGCTGCCGGAAATAAAACACGAGAACAGAAACAAAGGACAAACAGTGGCCAATATCGCGAATAAGGACACGCCCCCATCATCCATTACCAAACATATTTGTGTGACGTTCGCCGTTTGTTTCGTCGGGTGTTTGTGCCGAGGTCGTTGCAACCATTTTGACCTAGCAAAGTAACGAGGCTTACGACATAATCCGCTTTGATCAAGGTTTTTTTCCTATTGCACGAGCCACGCTTTTTTACATGAAGCACTACTTGCAGAACATCTTGATTGCTCTTATGTAATTATCCTGTAAAATGCGGCCCAATGCAGTTTTACCTCCCGGTCCCAACCTGGCTCAAGCTTACACTTTTTTAAGCCTGCTCCAAGGTGATGAGTGCACTTTGGAGCAGTGTGCATTCGGTGGGTCATGCCGTGTTATGTTCTTAGTATGGAGGTCTGAATCCTTAAGGAATAGGGCACTGTTGCTGGCATGAACCCCAGATGGAGAGCCCGCCAAACTGGAGATGGTCTTGGCCAGGGAGGTGTGAGCCAGAAGCTTTCTTTCAAGCATGAGCACACAAGCGACATATTGAAGTCACCGTGTCAGCTCCAGATCACATTCAACACCATGCTGGCTCTCCTGGCTAACCTTGGGTTTCACGAAGCCATGAAGCCAAAGAGGCTCTTTGGCTTGTGGCTTGCCGTGGCGCTTTTCCTCTGTCAACAGCTGCCCGGCATCATACGCCCACTGGAACCCACTAGTGCTTGAAAGCTGTCGTGGATTGTCGCCTGCAATTGTCTAATTCATGCTTTAGTATGACTGGCTGTTTTAAGCAATCTCAGCCAATGCACATTATCCTGACATTTGTTTCTAATTGCAACAGTGTTTGAAAGGGTTTGCATGGTACTGCTGGGACAGTCTCTGAAACTGAGATGGCTGGCTTACGATTCTCCACTATGCTTCTCGACCACAGTGTCGCAGCCGAGAAGAAAGCTGTGGAAGGAGCACCTCGGCAGAAAGGGTGGGCACAGATTGTGACAGACTTCAACCTCTGACTCTTTCAGTAGGCTTTTGATGTGTTTCCCGAACTCAGCGAATGAAACCAAAGCTGATTCCTTCATTTTGCCTTCGGAATGGGTTTGCAGGTGGGACAAGATCCAGGAGGTCTCGGGCCGTCAGAAGACGCCGAAGCTCCAGCTCTTGACAGGCTGTAAAGTTTTATTTTTTTCATCAATCATCACACCGATTTGACACACTGGCACAACAGCGAACTGAGTAGCGTTCACTCTAAAACGGACCAGCTGTTTTGAGCTCATCAGTCGAACTTGTTGTTGGCCGTGGCACAACGGTTCCATCCAGTGCTAAGTGCTGCCTGGTGCGTGTAAGCTGGGACAGGCTACCAGGCAACTGTTGCAGCCGTTATGGCTGAGCTGGAAGCCTGTGAAAGCGGAGACGCGCCCTTGATGCAATTTACATGATTTTGCCATTGTTCTTTTGTTTTTTCTCCAGTAAGCAAGTTTGGTGGCTCTGACAAGTTCTCGGGTTCCCATGATTTCATTTTGAAGCGTTGGGTTGGGTTTCATCTGCAGGAGGTGATTTTCAGCGTCTACGTGGTTGAGCCGGGGCGCAGCAGCGAGGCTTTGATCGCGGCCCTGGCTGCAGCTGCACGGCGAGGTGTCCAACTACGACTCCGCACGGACGGTTTCGCGCTCGAGTTGGCTGAGAGACTCGCTGTGGCCAAAGCAAGCGTTGTTGAGTCAATTTGCCGGACCAGGATTGCAGCGTCTTGAGCTCCTTCACGCGTCTTTGTGAAGGCGGGCGAGGGGTCGACTGAGCCTTCTTCAAAATCTGAACGGAGAACAGAGGGCATCCCATGTGGCACCTTAGCCTTGGCGCTGGCCCTGCATGAATCAGAGGTACCACCACTCTGGTGCATCGCTTGCAGCAATTGCGAGACGAGATGCCCGATTCAGTGCCTGAGCAGAATGTTTTGAATATATGGTTTCCTTTGTCACGAGCATTGTTGCTGGCCGGCAGGTTGAACCTCTAAGGTTGTCGTCGAGCAGCCACAGATCCCCACACATGCAAAGCTACTGACTTTCAGGACGGAATCGGGTTTGTACCAGTCCCTTCAAGAGATCTGTTCGTTCCTTCGCGCCTGTTCGCTCCAAAACTGTTTCAATGCCTCTTTGTTTTTTCAGGAGGAAGGCCGCCTCGCCAGACGTTGCTATCTTTGGTGGCATCAACTTCGGCGATCGCTTTGGCTCATGGCGAGACTTCGCCATGCGACTGGAAGGTGATGCAGCTGTGTTTGATCTGTTGTCATCGTTGCGCTGGCGGCCGACGTTGGTCACTTCAGGTGGCTGAGTTATTCACAGTCGCGCCCATACTGCCCCATCTTCCAATGTCATGAGAACAAGACCCGTTCGAGGCAAACTGTGTGGAGGGTTTGCGCGGTTTTGCTGGTTGGCAGAGGTCTTACATGTACTTTCTGGTGTCTTTTCATGCCACCAGTAGATACCAGACTCATTCTCGTTTGGGCGAAGTTGTTATGGTAGTGGAGTACAGCTGTGAGCCGGCCAGGTGTCCTGACCGCTGACACATCACGCAGGGCTTTGCAATTTGTCACGAATCAACCGATGCGCTGGGAGTGGCCAGCGTGGCTCTTGTCGCATCCCTTTCAGGGAAATTTTGACATTGCTCCTGAGATGACTCGTTTCTACAGCAGCTTTGACTCCTACAGGGTTGCAGCTTCCTACATTGATGAAACTGGAGCGGCAGTCCTTTCGAAAGCATTGGAACGCGGGGCTCGGGTTGAGCTTGTGATGCCTTGGACTCCCAACGTCTATGCCGATTGCAATGCCAGGACTGGGATGATCAGTAAGAATGGCAGAGCAAGCCAGCCACCAAGTTCAAGGCTAACTCCAAACAACCAAGCAAGTCTCAATGTTGTTGTTGTTGTTGTTGTTGTTGTTGTTGTTGTTGTTGTTGTTGTTGTTGTTGTTGTTGTTGTTGTTGTTGTTGTTGTTGTTGTTGTTGTTGTTGTTGTTGTTGTTGTTGTTGTTGTTGTTGTTGTTGTTGTTGTTGTTGTTGTTGTTGTTGTTGTTGTTGTTGTTGTTGTTGTTGTTGTTGTTGTTGTTGCTTGTTGTTGTTGTTGTTGTTGTTGTTGTTGTTGTTGTTGTTGTTGTTGTTGTTGTTGTTGTTGTTGTTGTTGTTGTTGTTGTTGTTGTTGTTGTTGTTGTTGTTTGTTGTTGTTGTTGTTGTTGTTGTTGTTGTTGTTGTTGTTGTTGTTGTTGTTGTTGTTGTTGTTGTTGTTGTTGTTGTTGTTGTTGTTGTTGTTGTTGTTGTTGTTGTTGTTGTTGTTGTTGTTGTTGTTGTTGTTGTTGTTGTTGTTGTTGTTGTTGTTGTTGTTGTTGTTGTTGTTGTTGTTGTTGTTGTTGTTGTTGTTGTTGTTGTTGTTGTTGTTGTTGTTGTTGTTGTCGTTGTCGTTGTTGTCGTTGTTGTTTGTTGTTGTTGTTGTTGTTGTTGTTGTTGTTGTTGTTGTTGTTGTTGTTGTTGTTGTTGTTGTTGTTGTTGTTGTTGTTGTTGTTGTTGTTGTTGTTGTTGTTGTTGTTGTTGTTGTTGTTGTTGTTGTTGTTGTTGTTGTTGTTGTTGTTGTTGTTGTTGTTGTTGTGTGTTGTTGTTGTTTGTTGTTGTTGTTGTTGTTGTTGTTGTTGTTGTTGTTGTTGTTGTTGTTGTTGTTGTTGTTGTTGTTGTTGTTGTTGTTGTTGTTGTTGTTGTTGTTGTTGTTGTTGTTGTTGTTGTTGTTGTTGTTGTTGTTGTTGTTGTTGTTGTTGTTGTTGTTGTTGTTGTTGTTGTTGTTGTTGTTGTTGTTGGTTGTTTGTCGTTGTTTGTTTGTTTGTCGTTGTTTGTTGTCGTTGTTTGTTGTTGTTTGTTGTTGTTGTTGTTGTTGTTGTTGTTGTTGTTGTTGTTGTTGTTGTTGTTGTTGTTGTTGTGAGCGGCGGTCAGTAGTGAGGGTAGTGAGTGGTGAGTTGCGGTTGGCAGTTCGTCACGCGCGAAATCGCAGGACGCTGGGAAATCTACTTGGAAAGTGGGGTGCCCATGGCAATTTCCGTCTGAAGCTTCACAGCTGCTTGGCCCAGCGAGTCTTTCATCAAGTTGTTTGCTTCTTAAATGCGGCGCTGTCTTCAGGGTCTGTTTTGCCCATTCAGCTTTTGTTTGCCCTGAGCCCAAGCCAGGCAGCATGGTCCATGCCAAAGCAGCTGTTGCACAAGGCGCAGGAAGATGGTACTTCTTTGGCCAAAATGATGGCGTGATATCATTGGTTGTCGTAAATTATCGTAGTTTGAGGTAGGGTGGCATGCTTCAGCATAGCCAATGCACGTATGCAGTTATATCTGTGTGTGGGCGATGCTAGTTGAGCTGGATGCAAACAGGCCCATCGTCAAATGTGGCGCTTCTTGGCTCCTGCAATCTCAGACAACGAAGCCTCGAGCAGTTCGAAGAGACTGGGCTGAGAGTGGATTATGAGTTTGCATCCCCTGGGCCACTATGATCTATGAAGAAAGGCTATAGTGAAGGCACAAATCGGAGTTTTCATTTCCAGACCTGCTAGATGGAGCAGAGAAGCTGCTAGAGCGCATCCTTGTCTCCATGCTCTAGGAAGGCAATGGCCACCACAACGCCTTGCCAAGGAGTTGCATGCCCAAGTGACAGACCAGACCTTCTGCGCGACGCTTTGGAAGGAGCTTGGCCAGTGTCGTGCTCAGGATCATCCACCTGGGATGATTGCCAACATAGACCTACCGGACTGGCAAGTCACACCTGCATGTTGCGACAATGGTCTCGGACACTCAGGCTTCTGCAAGAAGGGGATGAAGTGCAAGATCCAGCAAGGTGTTGTGCTTAGAAGTATGGTGTGCAGTGTTGTGGTCCATCCCCATTGAAACATCTATATTCCGCGCGCCTGACGATTGAGTTTTATGTTGCGATCTGCAGTCTCTCGAGTATGCCCTTTCCCGCATGGAAGGGACGGGAGATATGGAGATTGTTTGCCGAGGTTGGCCTTCAACCCCGCAATGGCTTGCCTACAGGACTACTTCGGCTAGATGTCTTCCTGAACATCCGCAGTCATGGCATCGCACGTCATTTAAGCAGAAAGACAATTTCTTGCCACCGTTTCTCATGCATGCTTCTCTGCCGGTTCGGCTTGGAGCCGTCCACGCAGCTAGGAGCAGCAGCTTTTTAGAGCTGCTCCGACAGTTCCGTAACAAGGACCATTGACATCCAATCTTAGC